CCTAGGGCCCCTGGGAGCTGTGCCAAGGGATCTCAGGGTGTCCTGAGAGCTGTGGGAGAGCAGCAGAGCACCTGAGAGCCCCCAGGTGAGCAACTCTCATGGTCCTGCAGGAAGAAAATCGGGATAGAGGGGCACTGCTGAGCTCCTGCAGCCTCTGTCCTTCCCAACAAAGCTCTGCCCAGTTTGCTCTTCATCCTTGGAACATCCACATTGCAGGGACAGCAGTTCAGCTCTCAGCTTTTCCCTCGTGTCCACAGAACCCTGGAATGGAAGGACCTGAAAGCTCATCCATTCCACCATCCCAGGCTGCTCAGAGCTCCACCCTTGGGCACTTCCAGGGATGGGACATCCTGTCCAGACCTTACAGAACCACAGCACGATTCGGGTTGGAAGGAACCTTAAAAGGAACCACCAAGCCCAATTCCCTGCCCTCCTTCCCCAGGAGGCTGCTCCTGGTTTTTTGGGAGGTTGTCCCTGTGTCCCTGTGTCCCTGTGTCCTGTCCCCTCTGCTCAGTGTCCCCACGCCGACCTCGGACACTATTTGTGGGGAGGGGGGGTGGCTCCTGTAGCAGCTTCACATCAAGCAGCGAGAAAATAAATAAATAAATAGGATTGCACTTGAGGGAAAGGTTTTTGTTTTTTTTTTTGCAGCTGGAAGCCCGAGAGGGAAGGTCTGAGATGGGGCTCCCACCGTTCAGTACCAGTGACCACCACAGGGTTGGGCCAAGTCCAAGGTGCACATTTTTGATGCTTTTCAGCCAGTTTTTCCTGCTGTTTTCTGCCTGAGACCACAAGTCCTTCCATCTCTTTCTCCACCTAATGATTTTTTTCCACAATCCAAACATCAGGAGCTCAGCGTGCTCCTGCCCACAGCTGCAGGAGAGGGATGGATCTTCTCTCACGTTTTGAGCCTCAGGTGCAAAAATCTTGACTCCCAAGGGTGGCTGGTCCTGCTAAAATGTGGAAAAGGATTGCCAGGTCCCAGCTTTTCCCGAGGCTGAGGTCCAGGCAGGACAGTTGCAGATTTTTTTGGAGCAAGGAGTGACCAATTCCTGCCCTGTGCCAATCCCCCTGCTCCTTGGTGACAGCCAGGGCCCTCACAGGCTCTCCAGAGAAGAAGAGGTAGACAGAGAAGACGCCAGAAGGAGAAACAAGCACAGAAGGAATCAAAAAGGGATTTTCCATGCTCCTCTCTCTTGGTCTTGGACAGGTTCCTGTCCCACCTGGATCCCCATGGATCCTCACACCCAGGGGCTCCTGACCCGGCCCTGAGCCCTGGCTGTGCCTCTTCCAAACCAGCTGGACACCACACGTGTGCCTGGTGTTTCTTTTTTTTTGGAAAGGGATTTTCCAAGGGGGAAACACCCTTGGCACCTTTTCTCACTGTACATCCCCCTCCTTCAGTTCCTGTAGCTTCTTCCCAAGGCTCCCAGAGCCTCTCCTGGTCCCTTGGTTGTCCTTCCCCAGCTTCTCCTGGAGGTGCTGCATGGAGGGTGATGGGTTGGGACCTTTGCCAAGGCAATCACTTCCCACAGCATCCCCTGGACCAGGGAAGCCAGGCTGTGCTCCCACTCCATCTCTGCAGAGCCCTCACGAGCTCAGGGTGGTGAGGAACAGGACTTGGAATCATTCAGCTCTCCACCATTCCTGGGCATCCAGGGATCTCTG